ATTTTATCAGCCGAAAGCATATTCAACTGCATTTTGCATAGCAAGAGTCCCATTGACAAGCACCATGAATTGTATGCGCTTTAGAGTATACTTAACCCGATTGACAAAAATCATTCGTCTCAACGAAGTATCTTTTGGATAGAGGGAATAAAGCTTTAGGTGGTAAATTCTCGGCCCTATTAGGATTTCGGCTTTTCTTATCAAGCGCGAAATCGGATTTCCTTTGCACAACCAGATTCTTTATTATTAACGGAAACATTGTGGATGACCTTCACACTAGTTGTGGACATTTGAACCGCTGTTTCTGACGATGTTGCAACACAGAAACCTTAAGCTCTACCACTCTTGCAATGATGATATACAGGCATCACCTACAATTTATTTTGCACCCACCGAAATCGAATAGGCCATAACTGCCCTGAAAATTACTAATGACGTTGGAACTGGTGGAATCCCTGCATCATTCGTGAAGTGCGATAGTAGAGTATTTCCACTATTCTCTTAAAACTGTTCAGCCTATCCATGGAAAACATCGCTTATCAACCCTGGATTCGAAACCGAATCACGTAGGAACATTACTAGATATAAGCTTAACATACGTGCTATCATCTATCACAAAAAATCGTCAGTACGAAGATTTTAGCATTTTCCACTTTCGGAAAACCCTATTTGTCATTCTTAACATGAATTCATCGCTAAACGCACATTCTTTATGTTGCACTTGGAATATTCAGATCAAACTAACTAGGGATGACATGTAGGTAAATCTGTAGTGACTCACATTTATCACAAGAACACGAGTGGTTTAATAAAAACAATTATTATTATAGCCAATTGTACCAGTGACTGTTTTATTGTGCTTTTGTTTAACTGTGCTAAAAAGCATCCATTATTCACACACCTTGATTGTGACTTCGCGCGAATTCGGTTACGTTCTGTAACCAAGCTTGTATCCTGGCACGATATCGTTATTCTTTCGATACCACGAAATCGCCAGCAAATATATCTCGACTTGGTCCATTAACTGCCTTCTGATATTTGGCTTCCGGGGGATTTTATGGATTATTTGGCACATCTTTCTCTGTAGCGGTGTCCATAGTTAATCTCAACTCGACGCCACGCTACAACTGGTCAGCTGAATTCTGGAACACGCCGCAACTTCTGGTCGAATCTTCCAAAGAAGCCAATTGGGTGAGTCTATAGTTCATCTATCCAAGACCGTCGTATATTTTCATAGTATCTTTTAATATATAATATACTCGTTATGACGGATAACGATAAGAATAGCATTAATATGATAGACTCCCATGTATGTGTACCGAATCCTTGTCACTTTTTATTCGCGTGACGGTAAATTCCACGCTTTATTCGAGAAATTTTCCTCTTTTAACTATTCTCCTCGCTGACCCGGCTGCTTGGCACGGAATGCATACGCATACGCATTACCGTCTACCACCCAGCACCAAATGGTTAAGTTGAACGGTTTCATTGCCAACTTGAAAGTGCTCTACGAGCACACGAAAACGAAAACTGGTACGAAACCTTACCGCTCGTTCTCTTAGGCATCAGAACGAGCTTGAAGACAGATATCCAATGTTCCGCCGCTGAATTGATATACGGCGCGACATTGCGTCTGCCCGAGGAATTGTTCACACCGTGGAGCAGACCTGATTTCGGTAAATTAGACTATGTCCAACGACTGTCTGTATTTATGCGAACGCTGTCTCTAGTGTCAACTCGAATACATCGACAGGTCGCTCTCCCTCGAGAGGTATCTACCTGTTCACATGTTTTCATACGAGTAGATTCAATACGCAAACCTTGAGACAGCCCTACTAAGGCCCTTTTCGCGTGATCGCTTGTTACGAAAGGACCTTCAAGGTTGATCGACATGGCCGCGTCGAGATCGTCAGCATTGATCGTCTCAAACCAGCACACGTCCATGACAGTGCCCTATTTGATAACCTGAGTTTCAATGCTAGACCTATCAAACCTGGCGGGATCCTTAAATCTCCTTCAGGTCCTACGCCAGATACATCTGAGACCTCCCTCTCACGTCCCGGTCAATAGCACGCGTCATCTGCACCGTCTACGGACGAGACGACAGTCTCACGTCCAGATCAGCAGACCACGCCGCCTCTGACCTCGGATGAGATCGCAGGCTCACGAGATACGAACGAGACTACCGTCTGACGTTCCGATCGCCGAGTACGGTTGCCCGTACGCTTCCGTGACTAGCCTCACAGTTAACAACCGATACGGTCTAGGACTATGCCTATGCTACATGCTTGCTACACTCTTCTCTTTTTTTGATTTTCTTTTTGTTTCCTGAGCCAACGCCTCCAACCATCCACGTTTGGTATCGTCGACTTCAGTCAACTTTGGCGAAAGCTGGATTGGCCACCCACGCTCTTGTCAACGCACTCAGTCAATATTTTCGTTTCGAATGTTCGGCATACGCTTGGTCTCGAACTTGGTCGTTATGGTCGCTACCGGTTCCTCGGCTCAACGTGGTTTCGTCCCACGTCTGCAGCGTTTCTGGTCCGCATTCCCTACGAACGCAATCTTCAGATTCTGGATACAGACCACTCTGGTGTGGCGTGCCAACTGAGGCAACAAATACAGCACACCGCTCCTGGTACCGTTCTCCGAAAAAGGCCTTCGTTGTCAACTCGACGATCAGTGATCGCTTTCCTGTCCCGCCAATTCTTCCGTCCTACAACCGCTCGTCAGCCGATTAGTCCCACGATTTAAACCGCTACTTATCGAAAGTGTAAACCCTTTCTAGCGAGGGGCTCCTGTAGTGACTCATATTTATCACGAGAACACGAGTGATTTAATAAAAACAATTATTATTATAGCCAATTGTACCAGTGACTGTTATATTGTGCTTTTGTTTAACTGTGCTAAAAAGCATCCATTATTCACACACCTTGATTGTGACTTCGCGCGAATTCACAATCGAAAATGCACAATCATTTCATGCAGCTTGATCAGAAAGTGGAGTTTTTCAGTATGGCAGCTGCCATAGCCAAAAATTAGCTCAAACAACGTAGACGTAGTCCGGAATAAACGTGAGAGTTCAATGAAAACCCAAAAAAATAAAACTACAATTATTTGTAGTGTCATTTCAACTAGTGTCAAAATAGCATGGAAACGTACATCTAAAGGAATCAAGAAGAATAAATCAGTATGTGTTTTGTACATTTTAAACTCATTTGTTCGTATTTCAATAACGCACACTACGGCTCATGGTCTTTTGCTTTCCTAACGGAATGTCTTATTCTTAACCAATGGATTGCATGTAGTCAGAATTCAGAAAAAACTGTATTGTTAAGTAGGACTGTTACTATTTGGAGGTTTGAATGTCTCCCTTTCAGTTCACTTGGAAGCAGTAATTTCATCCTAGTTGCTCATGATAATAATAATTTATTCTCCATTAGCAGTTTGTTACATGAGACATACCAGTATACAGGCAAGACCAACTTGCTGCAAAGGATACTCAAATTGTTACAAAGAATCTCTGGATTGAAGAGGGCGGGAAAAGAAAACTAAGAAGTTACGAAAACTCTCCCAGTATGGACGATCATTAAGAAATATCAGTGACTTGGTCATCTTGTGCCAACCTGATGGGTAATTCTACAATCGTTTTGAATCTTTGTACTAATGCAGTCGCTCATTTACTGTATTCATTCTTGTTTTGTTAATCCAGACAGAACGATTCCCAGTATCTTCCGAACTATGCAAATGTCCAATCAGCCATGAGCATGTCAGCTGTTGACTTTGACAACAGAAAACATAGTCATCCAGTACTTTAATTTTCTACATCGTTTGAGAAGCTTTATGTGATCAGCCATTTGTACTAATTTAGGTTCTTCGGTTTTAATTTGCTCCTTAAACATCTAAATGCTACCATATATCAGTGTTCTGAGGGTAGTAAAATAATGTTGCCCGTGAAGCTAGAAGTTAGTTTATGTAATGTATATAACTTCACTTCGACAACAGGAAATTTCGCGTACGATGAAGTTGATTTGAATCCATAAAATGAGGCCATAATGCTGCCCAACTCATCTTAATACGATTTACGTTATGTCCTCACTAGTAATACATATACTCTAACGGATACAATTGGGTTATAGGATGTAGGTACTGTGGAGCCAGTGAAATGTCGCTGGGCCCTAGCCAAATCATTTGGGATTCGGTTCATTGAATATCGGCCAGATCACGAGTGGGAACGCATCCACACCAGACCACGAGTGGGTAAGTTGTTCTATGCATCTCTCACAACTGTCATCCAGTTCAGGCCAAACGCTTATTGATGTATCAATAGTTCCCAAGAAATATTGTCCAACGACTTCATTTCTGACTTCTGATTTGACTGTTTTGATAAACTACGAATATAAAGGTGTTGTCAAACTCAGAGCACATTTATCATCTTTAAGTCTATGCCATACAGTCTAAGATGTCTCTAACGCAAAATAACACTATAAACTCCAGAAATAATAGTTATTAAATAAGTGTTCAGTACCTAGGAATCAATAGTGTATTTTGTACAAATTAAAGCAACATTCCCTAGCGGATGTTCAAAGGTCAGCAATCAAGTGAGCCGCACCCCAGCGTTAAATTTAGCCACTGACAATGGCCCGGCAACAAGCAACATTAAATTAAGTAATAAGGGTAAAACGTTCAGAGGAAGACCGAAAAAAATGTGGTTAAAAGAGACTTGAGTAACACCTAAAACATAAGACAAGCTAAAGAACAAAACAATAGCAATACTATTCAACAAAACACTCTGGTAGGGTTTTCAGCGTATTCTTTCTGTTACAATAGATGGGTAAGACAAATGAACGTTAATCAGATGCATAAAACTCTCTACTTTCGTGGTAATTAAACAAATGAGCTAGTTTGAATATGAGATAAATTTTCTCAATTTCAACTTGGGATTTTGTTTGAACGTTGAATCGCATATTTAAAATTTGTTGAAATGTATCAATATTAGTTATTTGTCTAGGTTGAACGCACAGCCGGTATTTTAACTTTCTGTTTTTTGTTGCAGTTGCAAGGTAGTAAGTTTTCTATGTTTTTATACTTTCGGGAGGTTGATAAGTAACTATTGATGCTGAAAACATCGTGAAATTTCCTTTCTACGTCATAAAAACGCAGTTAAAACGCACATGTATTATTGTGTTCGTACTTAAATTCGATACAAACAACTTAAAATGTATTGCAAATTAGTTAACTTTAAACACACGTGTATGTAAATACGGGACACATTTAAAGTTTATTTGACTGGGTGAGTGAGACATAATGTATTGATGATCAACATATGCACAATAAGAAACACTGAATCTTCTAAAAAATATTTTGGAAATAATTTTAACGGAGGTTAGCGTTGGCATCAAAGGAGCGGTGTAAAAGACTTATATAAATTGGTTATACAAAAGTTAAAGGGTTTGCTAATTCATGCAGTAACTGAGGCAGAACCTCTCTCTCTATATATATATATCCTAGAGAGTCATGGAACTAAAAATAAGCAGAAATGCTACTTGTTGAAATCTGTTTATTGTTGTAACTAACTCTCGGAAAGAGGGCTCAAGTGAAGAACACATATACTTGGTTAAATGACTTCAAGAAAATCTTTCAAACATTTCCAAGTTTCAACAGACTCTTTAGAACATTCAATATTTTTGGCATTGTAAAGATTACGTTATTTTGATCATAGGTGTCTTCTTAGCTTTGCACGTATTTCGTGGATTGACCGAGTAAGTAATGTTGATCTTAGGCGAAGGATACTTAGGATATTAAATCTTCACCAACTGAGGTGGATAAGACACTTGTTACGTATTGCTATCTACCACATACGTTAATAAAAGATGGTTGTTGATGCAGAGATAGGTTGAAAAAAATCTAGAGACGACTAAATCAAACATGGAATCAGTCTATGAAGTCATTAACTATTAGATTAAGCCATATTAATAGATGTGGGCAACCTAATTAGGGTCGTCATGATAACAGAGACCAGTGAGACCTTGGGTGACATGGCCCAGAACCATTCAAACCTATTCAGATGCATTCACCCTCTATTTTCCTGTTGTAGATCACCAACATAGATGATCTATGTTGAAAATGATTGGAGGCCTACTCGAGTTAGACGTGAATGGTGTGACAAACTAGCTAACGTCGAAGTCACACCTCGTGGTCAGCGCTTTACTTGGACTACCCTATTGACGTATCAAGGTACCATAGATGCTTTGAAGACTGTACAACACAGAGGCCGTTATTACAGAAATATATTAATTAAAGTGGATACAAGCGAAAGTAAGACTACTGCCGCATGGGCCAGTTCACGGCATACGACTAACTGATGCGCGTTGGTTGCCCCTGACCTTGACGAGGATCGATGATTTGCTCGATATTCAATGACCCAACTGCCATATGATTTGGCTAGGGCTTAGTGACATTTTGCTGGCCCTACACTGTTGATCTTGGACCTCAATATTCATTCATGCATACGTTTGCAATCTGTCTTTCGAAATAGTACTCTCAAGGTTTCGTCTTTATTTTAGCATTGCTACTACATTATTTCGAGATCTTTTGTTATTTTTATCTCAATATGCTAATAAAGTTCCAGGAAATTGGGTCAACACATGTCTATGCTAGACTGCGTGTTACTGATATCTGTATGGGCAACCGAATTGAATGCTGTAAAGCCTTGGAAAAACAGTACATTGGTTCGAAGGATTAAGAGAAAAAAATATGAATGAAAGCGTGTGATAACTTGGATAACGAAAGAATGGGTAGTAATAAATTTTAATGTTTGTGTATAAGAAATGGTGAATATAAGCACGCTGCAGATGTGTACCAAATCATGAAAACTCAGATACTCACTACTCTTTGGCTTTCAGAGGTTTTTACATCGACACCTTTTATGATCAGAATAACTTTTTGAATCAAAAAAATTCCCGAAAATCATCTCAGTAGATTCTTGACATATCTAAACCGATTAAGTAAATCTTAAACCTTACTATTTATTTCAATAGGTAAAGCCATAGATTGGTAGAAGCATGACCACCATTAAAGACCTGGATGACAGTTTCATTCTAGTATGGGACTCCTCAGCAGTACACATCCACAAACCCTCACGTTGGATTCGAACTCATAACCCTTGATCTTGCGCACGAACGCTTAACCTCTAGACCACTGAGCTGGTATCTAACGGTGTTAATGTCTAACTTCGAGTGATCTATGATTTTATGTTTTGTAGTCAGTGCTTTCCATTATTTTAACGGAGGTTATTGCTTAATTTGTTGATGTAATTGTGAAATTTCTATCATACAAATAGAAGCCACTGTAAACAGAGTAGAATACACCCTAATATTTACTGAAGATAGTCGTTTCATTTATTTTAGCTTTTCGAAAGGCAAAGAACTCCTATATATATATATTTTATCTGTTTTTTCTTTAAATTCTACAGTGAATTGATCCAATATCAAATTATGTCATTATCAAAGTTTTCTAATCTATTCCTTGACGATTTACCAATCCATCGATTTTGTATGTTTTTTGTATTGTTTACATGAAATATATTCGATTTTATAAACCAGCTACAAATGATTTAAATGTGTATTTACAAGACATCATCAATCAACTTTTACATATTAAAGAATCTGAAGATCCAGTAAATGTTAAACTATTCCTATCAAAATAGTATATTTTAGCAAGTTTACTTTTAATAGCATGTTATTATTTTATAGTTTTGAACATGTTGTAAATGGGACACATACTATTCATAGAGAATTTAAATATATATCAGCTATTCCCTATAACCGTATAACATTTTTATTTAATTTATGGAATGCTTTCATGCCACTGAAAGATAAAGGTAATGTTTTAGAACGAATTTCTGTCTTACATTTTTACTCTTTAGATTTCACCATTGAAGAATTTTACACAATTGTCCAATTATTTTGTTTCGATTTTCCTGGTGAAATACTCTCTCATTGTCAAAAGTAATTTACAAATAAATGAATAATAATAATCATAATAATGAAATTTTTTGTAGAACTTTGAATATAGTACACAACTCTACAATAGTTTACCCTTATAAAGATTTGTTTTGTGTATTTCAATTTCATTTCTACTTTGAAGTTATGTTTCATCGTTTTCATTTTATTTTCTTAAATTATTGTAGAATTTGTAAATGCTTTAATTAGTGAACTTACTAAAACTGAGTCAGTTGTGTTGACTAATAAACAAAAGGGTCAATCCGAGTTAGTCAGTGAATCAGGTAATTTGGATTGGTCTTTATGATTATAACAATAATAACGTAGTGTCTAGTACTATATCGAGCCCACATAGGTTATACCAGCTCCCGGGCAGACCAATTAATTCGTTTTTCTCAAGCCACATTTCGACCTTGTTGATTATTCTCTTATTAACCCTGACTGTAGTAACTGCCTGCACTATTCATTACATGTTTGTAACTTAATTTTGTCTGAATGTTGATATCGAGCCACTCTTGATCAAAAAGAGCTGGCTCTCTTGCCTTCTCCGCTGTTCATCACTTTGTTTCGTTTCCTTATGCTTGCTTCACCTTGTTTCACTGATTGTTTGTCTGGGTGAATAAGTGTATGAAATAGATGTATTCAAAATTCATTCTCATATTTATCTTATTTTATTCCGTTATTCTCGAACACAAATCAATTCGATAATTGTATACGAGGGTTGGCGGTATGTGTATTTTGATAACAATCAGCATACGATCTAACTAGAGTCAGATACAGGGTCACTAAAATAGTAACAATAATAATTATTATTACTCAAAGATAACTTTACATTGAAACTGATATCAATTGAAGAGCCAACAGTAGACAAATAAAGATCAATCGTCACTTGAATAGCTTACAAGTAATGTATTTGATTGTGGCACTAAGTGAAGTGGGTTTAGATTCCATAGGCTTTGTCAGTTTCCACACAAAACTGCTTTGTTAACGAGTGTTAGTTAGCTCAAAAATTTATTCAAGCATGGCATTCTGATAATTGTTTTCTATCATGTAATATAAGTAGTTGCTTTTTCACTCTGTAGTTTTTTGATAGTTTTTGGTCAGTTCTTTCAAAAATCAGTTAGTAGACATTGTAATTATTATATTAAACAATTACGTTTAATAGTTTTGTAATGTTTTTTCATACTTCATATAGACATTTCCAGTGGAGACAATAAATGTTCACATAAATCAGTAGCATCTGAATGTTGTTTTAAGATGAACATATTGGTTGAATTACCAAATAAATATGTGGACTCAATAGAATTTTTTAATTTTACACGTGGGTTGTATAAAGAATCAACTTTATTGTAAGTTGACTGCTTTATATATTACTTAATTATATAAGTAGTAGTTCAAATGGAATATTATCTAAATTATTATGAAAGTGAACTTGAATCCCTTTAAGTATTAAATAAATATCTTATTCTTTTGACGCATAACTCATTAATGGTGTTCATATCGGTTTGGTTTTGTGGGTAGAAATTACCATATTATTGTTGTTTAGGATTCAATGTTTATACAAGAGGTCAAAGCTCATGGTAGGTAGTTCCTGAAAAGAAAAACACCATGTTGACACAAGAATTAAGCTATTAAATTGTTAATTATTATCATGATAAGTGTTAAATCAGATCATGTACTTTGTAAATAAGTTGGAATTTGTTCAACTGGTTTATTTGTGTTATGACAGATAGTATATAGCTTGAGTAAATATTAAAATAGATTTCAGGTTTGAATTTACATGTCCATTCTTTTTTTCAAGGTATTGCATTATTTAAGCTGTATAGTTCTAAATAACTTTTGAACCGACTCACCGAAACACTTTTGTTGGTAATTTAATATTATGTTATTAGGTACGACCATCTGGGCAATCACAAATGATCAGTGATGCTCATTAAATCAATCATAATGTAATGGACGAAGACTTGGAGATGGTAAACCAATTTATTGTATTAAGCAGATTGCGTGCCACATTTGTAAAATATGAAAACAATACATTGAATGCTTCATTTGTGAATCTTTCTTGAATTGTGTCCTATAAACCCTATCTTTCTTTTATCCCTGTTCCAACTTGGAATGCTTTTCTTTTTTTCTTTCCTTCTCATGTTCCTCTTCTGTGAGTAAGAATCCTACTGCTAATTCTTGATACATACCACTTACATCTGTCCGTATAATTAACACACACCACAATAGCAGTGCTTAATTTTATGGAAGGAGAAATCCAAAAACACATAACCATTAGTAAATAAAAGAGTATTAGGTTGACAACATAACAGGCTGAAAAGAAGAATTTTCACACAGCTAATCTTTTTCTGTCTTATTATAGTCAAGTAGAAGGAGTAAATGAAACAAAGAATATGTCGGCTTTTGTATGATCTGTGATAATAACTAAATTGAATGAAAAACCAGTTAACATAGTTAACTCACTAACGGGCGGAGTAATTTTGTTCTTTCCGAATTTCCAACATATATGTTGACAAGAATGGGTCCTGAACGACTGTCCATCATCACGCAATATGTTTGGCAGTATAATTTGTTGTCAAATTGGAACTGAACATTTTTAAAGTTTATTCTCAGTTACTATTCAAGTTGTATTTGTGGTTTAGATGTAACTTGTGAATATTGGCTAATGATCTTGACCGTTCGTTTCAAATGTAAAAAGTGAAGATATGTCATATATTCGTTTTTGCTTTGTTTAAATTTGTGAAGGAGACCTATTGCATGAATATTACCGATTGTTATACATATATATATACATAGTCCAGATATCTTCAGATAATATATTTATAAGATGTATTTTTTAAAACTAATATTTACCTACAGTATTTACTTCATTAAATAGATTACCGCCGAAATTAGTGATGCATAAATGTGCTAAAACATATCTATTTCACTCAGAATTTAATCTATATGGTTTATTCACATCTTTGGCAACAGATCACTTATTAATAAAAGAGATAGGTAAATTAGTATGAATAAGTTTAACTTTTTTTGTAATTCTTAACTTTTCAGTACCACTGAATACAATCCTCAGTAATATTTGAATTGTATCTAGGAATGGTCAACTCATTTTGCTCTGTTTTTAGGACTTGTCAGCTGTTTGTCAATACTTATATTGATACTTGAACCTAATTTTTATCTCTTCAAATACTAATGCGTTATCGTCTAAGCTAATGAGCTCATATAGCCATTTCTAGATGTTCGTATTTAGGACTGCAGTTGCTTTATCTCTGTTGGCATGTATACATATTCAATAAATATTTCTATTATTTCAATGGTTAAGATCATGAGTCAGTTGAAGCTAGACCACCATGGAAAACCTGAAAACACTGGACGGCCGTTTCGTTCTATTGTGGGACTCCTCAGTAGTGCGCATCCACGACCTCGCTACCTGCGAGATTCGAACCCAGGACCTACTGGTTTGATTATAATCGTGATTATTATTCACTTTGTATGAATGATCTAATTCTAAATATGTGTTGACACTAAATTATGTACATTGTATTTAAAGTGAATAATTAATTCTTTTATATTCCTTCTCATATGGTTATTTAGTTCTTGTTGTATAAATACATAAATTTAAATTATGTGGGTGAGTTGTGTATGCTCTGGAATAAGTGTACTTCAATGAATACTGGATAACAAAAATGAATGTTTTTTTTTAAAAAAGGTGTACTTTGGTACTTATTTTGGTTTTATAGCACTATAACTATGACAATGATTATTTTATCGGTAATTTGTGTTAAAGCAAAGTATTAAGTATCACTTATTATGTTTTTACTGTTAAATATGAACTAATTAACCTGCTATTATTTCCCTCAATTCGGATCATGGTATTTTTAAATGAAGCATTTGAATTGTACAGATAATTTTCACCACACATTAGTTCTAACTAGAGGACTATCAAAAAAAGTAGTGTCACACAACTATGTTATCTAAGTTAACAGTTTCTCAATAGCACGATTCTAAGCTTTAGAAGGATCAAATAAACAATGGTAATATTTTTGGACGTTAAAGATAAATTGTTTTATTAGATTATTATACCTTATATCAACTAGCATGTTTTGTTAATGTTGTACAACTGAAGCAAAAGTGGTTGGAGACTTAATAGGAAATAGTTTTATACCAATCTCAAAGGGTAAAGATTTATCGTACTTTAAAGTGTCAGAACTATCATATATTTCTCAATGCTTAATAAAAATATGAAACTCAGCATTCTTTAGCACTTTTCATGACAGTGTTGCATATAAGAGACTGCTTCTCAATTGGGGTTTCATCTCAGTCATCTACAGCTGTTGACATGTGTCTTCTGTAGACATACTAAGGTAGCTCATCCCAAGTTGTCGGGTGAACAAAGCAAATAAGGCGGAAGTTAGGGATTAAAAGGAAACCCTCGGTGAAAATTATACTTTTTTATGTAGCATTCACTCACTAAATGAACGGAGAAATAATAAATATTACATACGAATTGAACATTGAAAAATAGATGCCCCACAAATTCACGGATGTATATCCTATGTCATTATTTATATAGTTTTAGTTACTAATCTCCCTCTATCCCTTCTGATTATTCAGTGTACCGATTTTCAATGACGAAACTGTTTCACCAAACGCTACATTTCTATAGAATATATACTGAGTCATTTTCGATCAATCAACGAGTAGAGTTAACTGGGCTTTTATTATATGTAAACCTTTATCATCTTCAGTTGTAGCTATGGTAACCTAGTAACTTAGTGAACGATACTGTGTTATTAAATGTGATACGTATTGTGTTCTAGTTTCACTGTGGATTTTAACTTTTGGTTTTAGGTAAATCCAATGAGTCTTAAATACTGATAAATGCGCTTTCTGGATTCCACTTCTAGCTATTATACAAAACGTAATCCTAATGTAATAAAATATTATGAAACTTGGACCGTTTACCATCCTTTGTACTGTTAGTGATAATATTTAATCCATTTTGACAAATTTTATAGTACTGTCAAATTATATTTAAGTTGTTCTAGCTTACTCTTTAAGGCTCAATTTTATTACAAGGTAGCTTAGTTTAGTAGGTATTAATGATACGAATTTTTTCCTCTTTTAATCTCTCTTCATTGAGCAGAGACGTACACACATGTGGTGTTTACTGACTTGATTTAATTTGCTTCCGTAACCAGTAATTTTGTTTCAAGGTGGCATACGATTGTGTAACTAAAGAAATAAACCAAATCAATTAGTTTGTAAATATAAATAAGTCCAATTTTGGCATTCACTAATTTATTCCTTTTTTTACTTAAACAGATGTTAATTTATAGTAGTTATTTATTATCAGAATGGGAATTTGTGGAGATTGTAATAATTTGAATAGTTGAATTCATGAGTCAATCTAAGTTAGAACACCATTGAAAACCTGGAAGTTCTAGTATAGAACTCCTCAACAGTGCGCATCCACGATCCCGCGCGAGGGACTCGAACCCAGGACCTTCGACTTTCTGCACGAACGCTTAACCTCTAGACCAGTAAGTCGACATTCAGTTGCGTTGATGCCTAACTTCAATCGACCCATGATCTTGCGCAACACTTTACTCATTGTCTGAGGTCGATAAATGTCTCCACTCGACACGTATTGGACTCCAGTGGTCACGGCTTTTCACTGGAATACCAGGAAATCCATCTTGAAGCTAGTCACTAGTGAGTACCGCATGCGAGACCGAAAGCCCTGGGTTAGAGTCCCACGTGAGAGATCGTGGGTACGCACTGGTGAGGAGTTCCATACCAGGACGAAACGGCCGTCCACTGCTTCCAGACTTTCAGTTGTGTTCTAGCTTAGATTGACTTGTGAATTCAACTATTAAAGATATTTATTGTCTGATGAAATAAAATCGCACTGAAGTGGTGAAACGTCCCTGTATTCCCTAAAGTTTTGGAGATGTTGTATTCTCTGAGCTAGATTGTTTAATTGTGAGGCTTTCATTGTCTATCTAGACAACATCTTTGGCATATACTTCAGAAAGAAGTGAGTTATCAGGATTTTTTTCATATTTGACTAACTTCTTGTCGTTTTCACCTGGAATTTAAGTGGTTGTTATCCGAATTTGTATGACAGTCATTTACTTCATTCATGCATGAATAAATATACAAATAGAAATCAGACCAGTATATCAGCTAGTGAGAAAAAAAGGTCAACAAGTTCAGTGATCAGGTCAGGGCAGAAGACACTCCGAACAACAGTCGTATGACCACAGATAACAGCCAATTAACATCTAAGTCATCGAGCAGAGAATTGTAATAGCTCACTTTATGAGATATATATGATATTGCATAGAAAGACGGTAGAAGCCCCACAAAGCATACAAATATCTAGAATCCTCACTTTCGGATACAAATATTCTCCATTATCCACCGGGAATATTGTAAATATACTAGACACTATGTTTACTGTTCAATTTAAATGATATTATCAAAATGGATTTTTGATGTCGATTACTTTTACTGATTTTTTTATCTTCCTTATGTTTTCTTTCCTTGTAGGGTTTCCTCAAGTCCATGGTTCATAATGATCGGATCAGGAAACAGACGAGCTTGATTAATATGATAGGTTTATAAAAATACAATAATGTTATGTATTCAACATTTATAAATAGAATCACATGTATTTATCATGTAATCAATTAAGATAATATATAAATTAACGCACAGGTTTCATTTTCTTCCTCCCTGTATTTTTTTAACTTGATTATTTGTATGATCCGAATGTATAATTTGGGATTTATACTTATGCTGTTGTCAATATTCATTTCTGAATGATGTTTAGACGTTAGACGTGGTTGGAGCTAGTCATCAGGATACCTATGATTCTGGTTTCTTGTTAGTTAGCATTCATTATAAGGTTATGCCTTGACAACTAGCGTGAAACCTAGGTCTGAGGTTTTTAAGTCAATCACGTAACATATAAACTGAGTGGACTAAATGTCAAGTTACTTGAACCAGTGAACACATTGTAATTTGACCTATAGAATTCAATCAGTAATAGGAGGACTTGAAAAACATGACAGATTGGTCACTACTCAGTGGTCAAACAATTGTAAATATCTGAGTCCTACAGAAGGTTAGTTACGATTCGACTAACTCAGTGGTAATGCCTTAGACTATAAATCTGAGTAACACAAAATCGAATCCATCAGGGAGCACCAGCCTAAAGGTACACCATGCTGAAACCTAGATTCAGGATTATCTCTCTACTGCTTCCGACCATCTAACATCTAATGGGATGTAAATAACACTTCCAATCTAATCTCCAAAAATAACAATTAAAATATATATATTATTAGTAGCAATGATTTAATTATACAAACTTTCGATTTAAGCTTAAACATCAATATACATTTTAATAACAAGTTAATTATGGATATCAAGGGAAGAGAAAAAAGAAACGAGAGAATAGTTAAATTTATATCAAATGAAATAACTTCATTTATAAATAAATAATATCTTTGTTATATCCCAATGAGTAGAAAATTAGATTTTCTGACGTTTCGTGACTTAGTGTAAGTCACTTCTTCAGTGAATAAATAACCAAATTAACAATCTACCCAATACTCAATTTATTTGAAACTTCATTTATAATTTATTTTTAAAGGAGAAAAAGATTCCAAAAAGAAAAAGAACAATTTGAACCGTTTAATTCTGAATTATGTAAGAGAATGATCAATCACAACGACGTTGTTTTTTTTAATTTTAACAAATGAATACTCATACAAATAGTACTTGTGAATGTGTTTGTGTGTGTGTGTGTATCTATGTGCATTTGTGTAATGATAAATGAAATGAAATTATATACAACTAGTGTGATGTCATATTAAACGTCATCTAAAAAGTCGACTTACTTACTTATGAAAAGATTAATGTTTACTGTGTGTTTAATTGACACTTAATAAAAATAATGATAATGATGGTATTAGTAATAATAATAAGTATTAATTATGTTTGTTAATATAAAATACAGAGATTGTATTTTGTTAAATGTATACGTATATAATTTTTATATACATTTCATCAAGTGAATTGTATATTTGAACTATTATTTAGAAATGAATTAATACACACACACACACAATTATTGCGTAATCATTTCAAACTAAATTGAATTATCAGTTTGTGGGTTGTGGAGATTGTTACGTTTTGATTGAGATCATGAACCGATTGATGTTAGACCAACATTGAAAACCTGGAGGCATTGGACGGCCGTTTCGTCCTATTGTGGGACTCCTAAGCAGTGGGCATCCACGATCCCGCTCATGGGATTCGAACTCAGGGCCTTCAGTCTCACGCGCGAACGCTTAACCTACTGGACCCTTGAGCTGGTATCCAACGGTGTTAATGTCTAACCCCAACCAATCCACGAAAGTTCGCGACCATCTGGTGAGAAGCCGTGACCAATGGAACCAATCTGTGTCGGGTAGAAGCAGGTGTCTACCTCAGTACAATGGAAGATGGCCGCGCAATTTCGTGAATTGGTTGAGGTTAGACATTAACACCATTGGATGCCGGCTCAGTGGTTTAGTGGATTAGGCGTTCGCGCGTGAGACTGAAGGCCCTGGGTTCGAGTCGCGCGAGCGGGATTGTTGATGTGCACTGCTGAGGTGTCCCACAATAAGACGAAACAGCCGTCCAATGCTTCCAGGTTTTCAATGGTGGTCTAACATCAATCGGTTCATGACCTCAATCATAAATTGAACTAATTGGGAGTATACCAATATTTCATGGTGAATTCAAGATGTATTTAAATCGTACACATTTCTATTTTCACTATTTATATTTATGTATGTACATAGAAGCTGGTAAAAGCTTTGTATTCATGTTTTGTCAAGCAAGAATGATGACTTACTTTTTTTTAAAAATTAATGGTTATTAATCAAATGCAGTATGTTGGTTTCTCATTATTTGTGATTGGTCCCAGTATTGATATTCATATTGAAGCCTCCACCTGATTATATTTTACTCTAAACGGTAGACATTATTAGGCCATTTTTTTAGGGTTTAAATATTCAAACAGAAACTGATCGAAATTGGTTTGAATATAGCTATTAATAGGTATCGTTTTATTTTAATCTTATCAGTCATTCATTTGATTTTAAAAAAATATGAAAGCAAATTCACTTTGTATACATATTATTAAGTGAGGTGGTTGAAAGGCATCACCCAGGAACCCTGAACTTAGGTTTCATGCTAGTTGGTACTTGTCAGCAAAGTATATATATAGAATCTTGAGAGATCTAATGGTCCATGTGAGATGTAAATCCATGTTACCCAATTTTATAGTATGAAACGTTGCCATTAACTCATTTAGTCTACGACTGGTCGAAACAAATCTTATGATCAAATGAAATACAGGCCGTGATGGAATGCAATCAATCGTATTCTGTCTTAGATAAGGAGTGAATAAACATTTCATTGGTTAATACTCAGTGATCAATAAGTGTGGTGAATAAGTAAATATATATGTAATCAAAGAATTAATTGTTTATGGTTATTGAATGCATAAAAATTATTTATTTATAGATGAAACATAATTCTCTGGTTAAGTACTGAATCTTAATTATTGATCTGTCCCACAATAATCCAAATGTCTACAGTATTCAATATGTCACATTATTATACTTCGTAGGGATGGACTGCAATTTCGATAACTGTTGTTGTCATAAGTTGATATCGATCTGGGTCTTGAGTAAAAACCGCCAAAGAGTTACATTTCAATATGATTCAGCTGTCTAATACTCCTTAATTTTCGATAATTATTCAACTAGTTTCAGTTAGTAATAAAAATCATCTTCCAACTATGGGTGTCTGTATATGAAATGCACTTCAATCAATTTCAAATAATGTTAGAATATGATGAATTCATTATATTTCGTTGTTTTCTATTCGGCAATATACAAGCTAATAAGTTAATTTATTTCCAATTAATAATGCCTCCAACTCTCTATATTAATCTACATGAGCATGGGAAAGCATGCACATAGAAAGGGCAGAACGACGAAGATCTAGGCGTTTTTGTTAGCCTTATTTGTGTGAACATATGCTATTGCGGACGAAATGGTCTTTGTAGTTCGACAGCACGATACCTACTTGAGATGTGGTATAAATTGGATTCAAAATAACCTATTCACGGAAGCCATAGAGATTAGGTGGCATTAATCTGACTTTTACATTCAAAAACAATACGTGGTTAATATTCGTTTGACCTCGTAGTTGAAGCGTATTAACCTCTTTTTTTTCATTTATTTTCGTCAGTTAATTATTATCACAATTGAATGTGTTTAACTCAGACTCATGTTTTTGGATTAAACCTCCTAGGTTTGTTATATAATGTAGTAGAAAAATTATCCTAAGTGTCCTAGTGCTTTCATTCTAAGCATTAATGAAAAACCATGTTAAAACTTGATTTTTTGACTACTTTTTATCCCAATTAACTTGTTCTTGATTTGTGCACAGTTCATTTCTTTACATTCCACATTAAAAGTTTGAATTATATAAATAAACTTATCAACTTGCATGTAGCTGAACAGAAAACAATGAAATGCAATGAATTCGTCGTATTCTGCAAGTTATTTTATTCTTGTTTGGCTTAAAATTGTGAAGGAAACGAATAGCATGAAACTGCATTAAATATAATAATCATATGTTTACTACTAACTAGCTCCCAAATAAAATTTTAAAATTTAGTTTGAAACCGCTGTCACTCAACTCTGTCAAATCGTTACTGAGACCATCTCGATACTACTGATTAAGTACTGGGCAATATATCCCTGACTGAATGAGTTTGAAAATGTTAACCATGGGATTTCTTCTCTGAAATGTATGAGCGTATCGTGTCCACTGTCTACATAGCGATTTCGTCATGGTATTATGTAGGGTCATGAGTGCACACTCCTTGGGAATTTCACATTTGGATTTTAAAAATAGTTATTCAGTGCTTCGTAATTATTTAGATAACGCAATGAGATGATGAAGTTTATCAAAACCATGTTTTGCGTTTTGCATGACAAGACATTGATGTACGGAAAATATGAAGTCGAACTAAACAAATTGGTAGATAAGAAAAACATGTAATCAGAAAAAGCAAGATAAATGACAATGCTCTGGAAATTAAACTAATACCACCCGGGACATTCAGTTTAAGTTTAAGTGTTAGCCCTGCACAATATTTAACAAGTCAGTCACTTCACATGTCTTGAGAGTTTCATCAGCTCTGTCAATTTGGTGTCTGACAAAATCTCGATACAGATTCAGAAAGCTCAAATGAGTCTACCCATGGTGCAGACAGGTTATCGTAAGGGTGAGTTTATTGCATATCAATGCGCTATGTGTTACTTTACAGTTAAGAAACATGGCTAATGAAGGTGAAAGACATGGATGAGGTGCAGGATCTTGATTATAGGTGTCGTCAAAGTACTTCTTGTATATCGTTGAATAACTATGCAAGCAATGCTGAGGTTAAGCATTTGGCACTAAACACGTTTTGTTGATCGGTTGAAAATTTATTAGAGTTCTATCAACTGAAGTAGATGAGACATAATCCCAGTCGCTGCTATGATGTACAGTTTTAGCTTTAGTGAGGATAAAACTGTAGGGATCAAATTAAGATATGGCATCAGTTCGTGGAATTACTGACTGTTGGACTGAGCACTATTGGTTGGA